AGAGCCATGCTGTCTGCTAGAGCAAACTAGCTTCAGATGCAAGAAGGGCACCCCAAGAAAAACCAAACGACCCCTAAACCCACTCATCCTTCTTACTAGCTAATATACTGTGGTGAAAAGGACAACACAGAAAGAGAAGGAAGGAGGGAGGGAGTGAGGGAGGGAGAGGGAGAAACAGCCCAGGGTTCCTTTTCAGTTCAGCCCTTCTTTGCTGAGTGAGCATAAAGCAGAGAGTGTTCATTGTGGGATATTTGTACACTGTGAAGATGTGTCTTTGCCAAGCTGCCTTCTGATTGGCTTGATAAAGAGCTAAATGGCCAATAGCTAGGCAGGAGGTAGAGGTGGGACTTCAAGGCACAGAGAGGACTCTGGAAAAAAGAGAGGCAGAGAAGCCAGCCAGACATGGAAAGAGTCAGATACACAGAATGGGATAGAGGTAAAAGCCATGTGGTTAGAATGTAGATTAATAAAAATATGGGTTAATATAAGTTATAAGAGCTAGTTAGGAATATGCCTAGGCTATTGGCTGATCTTTCAGAAATAATAACAAGTCTCCATGACATTCTTTGGGAGCTGGCTGGTGGGATAGAGAAAGAATTGCTACAAGTGTTGGTAAGCTGGATGGGCCAAAAGAAGTGAAATGGAGACAGTTTTGTGTGGTATTTCTGCTGTTCTGGCATTTGAACTAGGAAATACAAATTACATAATTTCATTGATTCTGTTTATGAGTTCAAAGTTCTTATATCTGCATTTAATAGAGTTTGGCATAGAAAAATATAAAAGTGGCAAAATTTACTTATTTATGCTATTTCAAAAAACACTAAACTGCAAAACAAACAAACAAACAAACAAACGAACAAACAAACAAACAAACTACCATGACAGGTTAAAACAGACTGTTTGAGAAAGCAGAAAGCATTATATCCCAACAACATTAAGGGAATTTCTCCTTTGTACTTTAAGGATACAAGGAAGGGAGAGAGAGAGGGAGGGAGGGAAAGAAGGGAGAGGGGAGAGCGGAGTTGTGGGGATATATGGTGGGCTATTCTAAGATTTCACTGTAAAGCAAAAAAAAAAGATGCACAAGATGAAAATTATCCTTGAAAATGTCTCATGAAAGCTGAGAAAACCCTTCAATGTGAGTGACAACCCCTCAGTGTGAGTGACAACCCCTCA